AGAAGCAGAAAAGAAAAAAAAAACTAACACCAGCAGCCAACAAATGGCACTCAAAGAGCCAGCCAGTGCGAGCTGGTTTTTCTGGACAAGAGACTGTGTCCGTGGGAAGCAGAGGAGGCCGAGTGTGGGTGAAGAAGGGTGGAGAGTGGGAAAGCGTATATCACAAATTGCCGGCACTTTGAAGCCCCTCAGGAAGAAGCAAAGATGGCGCACAGAGCCAGGCACTTGAGTGAAAGGAGGGGGAGGTGGCGAGAGACAAGTGAGAAATCAAAAGAAGCAGGGAAAAAAAAAGCAACACTAGCAGCCAACAAATGGCACCCAGAGAGCCGCCTGCTTGGGTGTGTGGAATCCAAGCAGCCGGCGCCTCCCGGTCAAGAGACCGTGGCCGTGGGAAGCAGAGGAACAAACGAACAAAAGCCCCGGGATCCAACCAGCATGGCAGCCCAGACCGGGAAGTAGCTGCACACTCGAATGGAGCCCCGCAGCCCCTCAGGAAGAAACAAAGATGGCGCTCGGAGCCAGGCACCTGAGCAAAAGGAGTGGGAGGCGGCAAGAGGCAAGTGAGAAATCAAAAGAAGCAGGGGAAAAAAAGCAACTCTAGCAGCCAACAAATGGCACCCAGAGAGCCGCCCGCTTGGGTGTGTGGAATCCAAGCAGCCTGCACTTCCTGGTCAAGAGACTGTGGCCGCGGGAAGCAGAGGAGCCTGAGCTGGGGCAAAGAGGAGTGGGGGGTGGGAAAGCGCACACCGCAAATTACCGGCTGTTTTGTCTCCCACTGAACGCTCCGTGAGGCTGCTTTCTCATACCCCCATTTGCTGGTCTCCGACAGGAGTCCAAAATGGTGGATCTGCGCTGCGTTAGCTGGTAGGGGACCTCTGCATGAATCTTTCCTTGCTCTCCATTCTCTTTCAGTATTCTTACTCCATTTGGTGCTCGGCTGAGTTCTTTATCTCTTCATTTGATGTTCTAGGGTTTCAGGTATGTTGCATTCTCTGTTTGGCTTAGTTTTTTGGATCTTTGCTGTGGAGGGACGGCATGGTGCTTCTGCCTAGAGTGCCATCTTGCAGGAACCTCACAAACATACTTTTTACAATTCAGTTGACTTGTTTTTTGTTTTGTTTTTTCTTTTCAAATTAGGACTTTTTATGAAGTATGATTTACATACCATAAAATGCACACATCTTAATTGGGTAGATGGATAATTTTTTTAATATGTAAACAGTCATGCAACCACTAATCAAATCAAAAGCTAAAACATTTCCATCTCACCAATTACTTTTGCTCCTCCTCATCAATGTTGTTGTTAGGTGTTAATGAGTCGGTTCCGACTCATAGCGACCATATGCATAACAGAATGAAACAATGCCCAGTCCTGCGGCATCCTCAGAATCATAGTTATGCTTGAGCTCATTGTTGCAGCCACTGTGTCAATCCATCTCATTGAGGGTTTTCTTCTTTTTCACTGACCCTCGACTTTGCCAAGCATAATGTCCTTCTCCAGAGACGGGTGTCTCCTGATAACGTGTCCTAAGTATGTAAGACATAGTCTCACCATCCTTGTTCTAAGGAGCATCCTGGTTGTACTTCTTCCAAGACAGATTTGTTCATTCTTTTGGTAGTCCATGGTATATTCAATATTCTTTGCCAACACCATAATTCAAGACATCAATTCTTCTTCACTGTTCCCTATTCATCATCCAGCTTTTGCATGCATATGAGGCAATGGAAAACACCATGGCTTGGGTCAGGTGCACCTTAGTTCTCGAGATGACCTCTTTGCTTTCCAGCACTTTCAAGAGGTCTTTTGCAGTAGATTTACCCAATGCAATGCTTCTTTTGATTTCTTGACTGCTGCTTCCATGGATATTGATTGTATATCCAACTTCAATCTTTTCTCCATTTATCATGATGTTTCTTATTGTTCCAGTTATGAAGATTTTTGTTTTCTTTATGTTGAGGTGTAATCCGTACTGAAGGCTGTGGTCTTTGATCTTCATCAGTAAGTGCTTCAAGTCCTCTTCACTTTCAGCAAGCAAGGTTGTGTCATCTGCATAATGCAGGTTGTTAATGAGTCTTTCTCCAGCACTGATGCCACGTTCTTCTTCATATAGTCCAGCTTCTTGGATTATTTACTCAGCATACAGATTGAATAAGTGTGGTGAAAGGACACAATCCTCACACACACCCTTCTTGACTTTAAACCATGCAGTATACCCTTGTTCCGTTTGAATGACTGCCTCTTGGTCTATGTACAGGTTCCTCCTAAGCACAATTAAGTGTTCTGGAATTCCCATTCTTTGCAATGTTATCCATAATTTGTTATGATCCACACATTTGAATGCCTTTGCTAGTCAATAAAACACAGGTAAACATTTTTCTGGTATTCTCTGCTTTCAGCCAGGGTCCATCTGACATCATGAATGATATCCCTGGTTCCACGTCTTCTTCTGAATCCAGCTTGAATTTCTCTCAGTTCCTTGTCTGTATACTGCTACAGCCACTTTTGAATGATTTTCAGCAAAATTTTACTTGCATGTGATATTAATGATATAGTTCAATAATTTCCACATTTGGTTCGATCACTTTTCTTGGGACTAGGCATAAATATGGATCTCTTCCAGTCAGCTGGCCAGGTAGCTGTCTTCCAAATTTCTTGGCATAGACGAGTGAGCACTTCCAGCGCTGCATCCCTTCTCAGAAACATCTCAGTTGGTATTCCATCAATTCCTGGAACCTTGTTTTTCACCAATGCCTTCAGTGCAGCTTGGACTTCTTCCTTCAGTATCATCGGTTCCTGATCATATGCTACTTCCTGAAATGGTTGAACGTCGACCAATTCTTTCTGGTATAGTGACTCTGTGTATTCCTTCCATCTTTTTTTGATGCTTCCTGCGTCGTTTAATATTTTCCCCATAGAATCCTTCTGGACTGCAACTTGATTCTTGAATTTTTTTCTGCAGCTCTTTCGGCTTGAAAAATGCCAAGCGTGTTCTTCTGTTTTGGTTTTCTATCTCCAGCTCTTTGCACATGTCATCATAATTCTTTACTTTGTCTTCTCTAACTGCCCTTTGAAATCTTCTGTTCAGTTCATCAATAGCATACAACAAAAGAAAACAATTATCTATCTTTGAAAATTACCTTTGCCTATTCTCGAGCTTTATAAAAATGGGGTGTCTGGTTTCTTTTGCTCAACGTGTTTCTGAGAGTCATCCATGTTGTTTCATGTATCATTGATTTATTCTTTTATATTGCTTTTTGGTAGTCCATTATATGGGTACAACACAGTTTACTATTCTTTCAATGAAAGACATTAGAGTCCTTTCCAATTTGAAGATTTTATTAATAAAGCTGCTTTGAGTATTTTTATACAAGTCTTTAAGAAGATGGAAGCATTTATTTCTCGTGGGAATATAACTTGGAGTGGAAGTGCTAGGTTATAGAATAGGTGTAAGTTTATAAGAAATTGCAAATCAGTTTCAAAAATTGTTTTTATGCTCACAGTAACAATGTATGAGAATTCAAGTTGCTCCACATTCTTACAGACACTTCGTCTTGTAAGTTGTGTTTAATTGGAAGCATTTTGGTTGATGTCTAGAAGTATCTCATTCTTTTTACTTTGCATTTTCCTGATGACTACTAATGTTTCCTGAACTATCTTTTGACATACTTATCAGACATTTGAAATGTTCTTTTGTGAAGTGTTGTTAAAGTCTTTTAATCATTTTTAATTGTCAGGTTATTTTTTCCTTTCTTTCTTCTTCTTTTTAAATAAGACTTCTTTATGTATTCTGGATATTTGACATATCAGGACTGAGAATATTTTCTCCCAGGTTGTGGCTTGCCTTTTTACTTTCTTTATGATGTCTTTGGAGGGACATACTTTTTTTAATTTGATGAAGTTTACTGTATCTTTTTTTTTTCTTTCGTGGGTACTGCTTTCTGCATCCCATTGAAGCAATTTTCACTCATCAGAAGCTTTTTAGTTTTGGTCTCAAATTAATGTTTTGTACATAACCTGAAGTACAGGCTAAGGTTCATTTTTTTTCCATATGTATAACCAGTTGCTCCAGCAACATTTTTGATAAGACATTTTCCCCCACTGAAGTGCATTGGTGTCTACGTCAAAATCAAGCCATATATGTATAGATCTATTTCTGCACTCTCTATTCAGTTCCACTGATGTATTTGTCAGTCTTTACACTAATATTACACTATCTTAAATAATGTAGTTTTGAAGTTTTCCTCTTTCTCCTCTATTTTCTGAAAGTGTTTGTGGGTAATTGGGAGCTGGGAAACACTCTTATCTATTCAATTTCATGTTCCAATCTCATACTGTTTCTCTCTCTGTCTGTGGTCCTTCATCTTCAGTGCTTTGGTACTGAAATCACCTAGCCAACCAATGGGGACTTTCGATTTCAGCTAGGGATATTTATATCTTTTCTTGATAGTGGGAATGAGAATTTTAAATATTTCTGTTATATTTTGTAGAGAGAATATTCAACATTGAAAACACGTGTATTGATTCCTTTTAAGGAATTTTATTATCATGACAGTTATATATACGTAAATGTCCTTTAAAATTCAACACAAAATAGTGACCATGTTGCATCTACCCTTGAATCAATTTGGTATTCTTAATGCTTGTGAATTGCATTCTCTGCCCCCTTGCACTTACCACAGGTAGATTCTAGACACCGCATCTTCCTAGCTTTGATATTCCAAATGCATTAAACAGATTCATGCATAAGAGGCTCTTCATTATAACTGGTGGAATTCAACTAGTCTAAAACTAATGAATAGAAGACACAGGAAGATATTATCACTCAATGCAAAGAAAAATATTAAAGCTGTCAAATACTGGAATATATTGAATTATGAGATAAAGTATCCTCTGTTTTAAAAATAAACAAGCAGAACCTTAAAAACTACATTTGCATGTCTATGTAGGAGATTCCAGAATGAGATGGAGAAGGTGCATTCCCCTCTGCGAGTCTGTGATCCTATTTCTGCAATTTCACCCTGGACAGAGCATCCTTCAGAGCCTGATGGACCTGCTTGTTCCGCAGCATGTAGATGACAGGGTTCAGCACTGGGGTCACTACAGTGTTCACAAGAGCAGCCTCCCTGTTGCAGCCCAGCCTGGTGGTTTGTTTTGGTTTCACATATATAAAGACACAGCTGCTGTACATCAGAGAGAGGACCATGCAGTGAGATGAGCAGGTGGAGAAAGCCTTGTGTCGCTCCTTGGCTGATGAGAGATGAACAATTGTGACTACTATGTGGCTGTATGCAATGATAGTTGTAATGAGGATGTCAAAAGGATGAACAAAGCCAGACTGAAGGCCAATATTTCAACAGAACTGGTGTCAGAACAAGAGAGATTAGTCAAGGGCCCAAAATCACAGAAGAAGTGAGGGATGACGTTAGGGCCACAGAAAGATAACTGGGAAAGCATTACAACTGGAACTATCATGAGGAGGAATCCCAAAGCTAAGCAGGCAGTGACCAGGCGGAAACACATTCTTCGGTTCATAAAGGTGGGGTAGTACAGAGGTCTGCAAATGGCCAGGCACCGGTCTAGGGATAACACAGCCATAAGGAAGAAAACAGTTGCTCCCAGAAAAAGAAAGACAAAGGCTTGCACGAGGCAGGCAGCAAAGGAAATTGTCTGCTTTCCTGACAGGAAGATGGCCAGCAATTTAGAAATAACAGTGGTTATAAAACAGCATTCAAAAAAGGAGAAACTGCTGAGGAAAAAGTACATTGGCGTCTGGAGGTGACGGTCAGCCCAGGTGATAGTGATTATGAGTGTGCTCCCTGTGATGGAGGCCAGATATGCCAGCAGATACACCAGGAAAAGGACTTTCTCCAGGTTTTGGACAGCATAAAACCCCTCCAGGATGAATTCCTGGACATTTGTCTCATTCCAGGCATCCATCATCATCAACTTTTCCATTTATTCATTCAATTCTCTTTGAGCTATTTTTCAGAGAGTGTCATGACTCATGAATGAAGAACTGTATTGTATCAAACATGTACAATAGTGCAGGCATAGTGATTAGAAATGTTTATTATTTTAAAATGCATTTTATGTGTAGTTTTTACCCATTGTTAAGTAAAAATAAGTCTAGTTGGATAAATAAATATGGTATATCTATACACAGATTAACCTTGAAAACATTATGTTAAGTGAAAGAAGTTAGACAGAAAGGACAACATAGTGCATGAGTCCACTTATATGAAATGTCCAGAATAGGCAAATCTATAGAGACAGAAAATAGATTAGTGGCTGCCTAGGGCTGGGGGTTTATATATTCCTCTGTATGTAGAGTAGAACTACTCCATAGAGTTTTCAAGGCTGAGAGCTTTCTGAAGCAGGTCACCAGGCTTGTATTCTGAGGTGCCGCTGGGTGAGTTCAAACCACCAACCTTCTGACTAGTAGTTGAGAATTTAACCGTTTGTGCTACCCAGGTTGGTTAATATAGAGGCAAGCAAGATATGATAAGCCTCCATTTCCTCTTAATGGTTAAAGTACACCATTGCACAGCCAGTTCCACAAACTGCTGGGAGCAAAGAAGAGGTATTCCGGAGTATGGGTCGAAACTAAGAAGCAATGATATTTTCGTGTTTGTAAAAAAAAAAAAAGAAGGAGGAGGAATACCGTAGATGGCTCCTCAATGATCATAAGGGAGGGCAGGACTTTTTCCAGAAATGTTACTGATCATTCTGATCAGTAACCTTTTCTCTCTTTAAAAAGAAACGCGAAATACGTGCTTTCAGGCAGGCAGAGATCATTCCTGTGAACTGTGGGTATCCGTATCCAACTTGCTCACTTAACTACACTATTAAATTTTACAAAAAGAAACTCTTTATGTCTCAGATACACTTTCACTATCGGCTGCTCATCATATTTTTTGTTAAACAGATTTATTGAGATATAAATACACATACCATACAAGTCCCTCATCTAAAGCATATATTTCAATGAATTTTAGTGCATTCAAAGAGTTGTATATCTATCTTCACTATCAATTTTAGAAAATCTTCATCACCCCCAAAAAGAAACCCTGCACTCTTTAGCCATCACCACTCACCCACCCACCCTACCCCCAGCCCTAGGCAACCACTAATCTACTTTCTGTCTCTATAGATTTGCCTTTTCTACACATTTCATGTAAGTGGAATCATACAATATAATTCCTTTCTAACTGGCTTCTTTCACTTAACATATTTTCAAGCTTTATCTATGTTTTTATTGCTGAACAATATTCCATCGAACAGCTATACTACACTTTATTTATCCATTTATCCATTGATGAACATTTGGGTTTTTTCCATTTTTTGCCTATTATGAATGTTGCTGCTGTGAACATCGGTATGCAAGTTTTTGTGTGGGCATATGTTTTCATTTCTTTTGGCAGTGAAATTGGTGAATCGTATGATAATTTTGTATTTAATCATTTCAGGACCTTCCTGACTGTTTTTCAAAGCGATTGCACCATCTTACATTCCTACCAGGAATGTATGAGTGTTCCAGTTTCTTCACATCCTCACCAACACTTGTTCTTATCTGTCTTTTGTATTATAGCCATCTTAGTGGGTGTGAAGTATCTTATTGTGGTTCTGACCCAGCTCTGAGGTCTGGCTTTTGTTTAGAGCTCTCATCCCAGAAGGGTATGGGCTCTCTGCAGCTGGGGATGGAGGACTAAGATCTAGCCTGCATCTGGGTTATGTCTCCTCCCAGACAGGATGAGCCAAATGCCTTCTCGCTTGCCTTTAATAAAAACTAACTCCTCCAGCCTCCTTTTCCAAGAGAAAGAGGATCTTCAGATTAAATTTAAAAGATAAAATAAGAATCTGTTCCATGTAATGGAGATTAAATGTGATGGTGCTTCTCCATCTTCTAGAGATACCCGTTCTCTGGAGTAAATGCCTGCACCTGCTGGACAGAGTCCTAGATACCTGCTTCAGGGAAAGTGGCCCTGGTCTCCCATCTCTGTTAATTAAGTGGCAGACAGATCACTGCACCAACTTAGTAGCTCTGACTAAAGTAGATAGGACCTAATCTTACTGGTGCTGAGGACAGTGTTACCTTTCAAAAAGATTGTTCTTCCAGACAAAAGGGTCAGGTTGGACAGGAGCTGTGGCAGGCTTGCTGCTTGTTAACAAAGTGGGAGAGACTTGAAGTTTCTCCTTGCTTCAACTATGGACAGCACCAGAAGCTGGAGTCCATGACGGTCCATAATATACTTTGGTGGTTACGGTCTTATGCTCTGGATCCATGGACTTTACATTCAAATCCCACCTCCACTGCTCACTCGATGTATGTCTTGGACAAGTAACTAACCTCTCAAAGTGTTATTGAAAATCTAGAGACAATGTCTGACAATAGTCCCAGGCCTGGCAGATGGAAGTTTCTAATGAATGTTACCTAGAGGCAGTAGCCATAGTGGCAGAAATGGAAGAGCAGCAAGAACAAATCCTTCCAAATGTGAGGGGAAAAAAAAGACTATCTCTGGTTGGTCCTAGTTTAATGGTTCTTATTCAGGGGTAATTTTGCTCCCCAGCAGACATTTGACACTATCTGTAGACATTCTTGGTTGTCACAACTAAGAACGCGGTGCTACTAGTATCTAGTGAGTAGAGAGGCCAGGGATGCTGCCTAACTCCTGCAGTGCACAGAATAGCTCCTCACAGCAAAGAATTGTCAAAAGTGCCAATACTGACAAACCCTAGTTGCATCCAAAGGTTAATTCCTAAACTAAAGAAAAAGAAGCCAATATAAAACACAAGCATACCACAACTCTATTGTCTGGGGCCAAAAGACAGGAATGTGGCTAAAACTTCAGTTCATGAAGCAGCTTCCACACAGAGGGACCTGGATGCACTGCAGAACCTATGTCATATTTCCAACAGCCAGACTCCTCCCATCATGTGGTCGCTGGTGTTAGCAAAACCCTCTGGTTTCCACCACCTAGAGGGGTTCTGCTTACTCAGGGAAACCAAAATGGCAAGGGTTTGTGGTTTACGAATCATTCAAAGAAATAATGTACTTCCGTTGACTGACACACATTATCAGAGATAAAGAGCCAAGAGATTGGTGAAGGGAAAGTTCTCTTAGTTTCTCTTTGTAGTTCTCAAGAGTATGTGGCTTAAAGAGTTGATAATTTGAGGTAGTCAGCCAGTCATAGAAGGTGCTGCATATCAGATGCCTGTGGGGTCATGAGTTTGTCTACATTAAATCACAAGGACTAATTTTAAAGGCTAATATTCTCTTATTCTATCTTGGCAGCATCCCGAGATCAATTTATTGTCCTTATCATATTTAGAAGGAAACTAAGGCAGAAGTGGGTTGAGTGCTTCTGAGAGAGCCTGGACTTTAACCCAGATCACCTCATGCCAAATTCAGGGCTCTTTCCTCACTACACCACCACCTTGCTGAGCATACACACACCATTACTGCACACCCTGCAATGCAGCATTCTTCATACCGTTTCTTCCTACTATTCATCAACATGTGTGCCAGTGTCTTCTTAACTGGGTTATCAGTTTGCAAGGGTATGGATCAAGTCTCATATTTATTAAGTCAAATTAGTAATGCTTTCTTAAACACTCAGTACTTGTCTAAGTACTTTTTTTTAATCATTATAAAATGTACAAAATTTAAAAATTGTAAGAAACCAAGATGAACAACATGATGAATGTTCTTCCTGACATGTTGAAAATCTATTAATAATCATGTTGAGCCATTAATGGTTTTCAAAACCTTGTTCATTTGCAAAGTCTCCGAGACCACTGGGGGCTTTGACATGTTATTTCGGGTTCAGAATTCTATTAGAAGACATTAGACTTGGCCCATAATAACCTGTGTGTCAGTGCCACCGTCAGTCAGTCCACAGTTCATCAAATTCTTGAATTTCATGCCCAAAATCTGTGTGCTTCTGGTGAATGACAATGAGAATACTGGATGAAGAACCATAGACAATTCAACAATTCATGCTTTGTAAATCAAATGTCAGCATCTACTCTCAGCTTCCACCTACAGTAGCAAACAATATGTGTCTTTATTCAATCACAAAGATACAAGTGAACATTCATATCTTGCCTCTGTCCTCTTAAATAGATCATTATAAAAAGAAATGGATTTCCCAGTGTAGTTTTCTAATAGCATGGAGCATAAGTCCTTAGACTTGTCTTCAGTAGACACGGAGGATTTATCTACCCAGTTTTATTCTGAAACAATGGAAGGATAGCATTGCCTTCTTGCAATGCTGTGTAACTTCTTAGAGCTGAATCATAGCAGTTGTCCTCACTCCAGACCAATGAGGTAGGTCAAATCCTCAAATCCTCTCTCAAAACAAAATCAAGGAGGGACGAGTTGCATAACCCATTCACCAAGTTTTAAAGTTGGAATTTCTACTTTCAAAATAAAGTGATGATTTTAATAATGCAATTTACCTTGAGTGTTAGTGATAAGATAAGGGGAAAACAGAAACAACAGTTTTCCCCAGAATCGTAAATTATTGTTAAAGTCTAGCTGGCTCCAGAGGAAATACATGGGGTAAGATAATAGAGGTAGAAGTTTTCTTAGGGACCTGGGGTCACCTTAAAACTATTCTTCAGTCTGAAAACTCTTCCCTTCCATGTGCTATGAGGTACACACAGCCTGCCTAATTCTTTTCAAGCCTGCACACCTAAAGTCTAGGTGTGATTTTAGGATTAACAGTCTGAACATTGCACATATAGAAGAAGAAAAGGGAAGGGGGAGGCAGATGGGAAAGGGAGGAAAGAAGGAGGGGAAGGAGAAGGGGAAAGGGAAAGGGAAGGAGAAAGAGTAGAAGAAAGGGGGGAGGAGGAGGAAGAGGAGAAGGAGAAAAGGAAAACATTTTCATATACCTGTAATTCCAAACCACGAGAAGCATTTTCCTCTCCTAGAGAGCTTTTCTTCCCCGCAAACCTAGCCCTGACATTAACTTGGGGTCAGACCATGTCTTAGTCATCCAGTGCTGCTATAACAGAAATACCACAAGTGGATGGCTTTAACAAAGAGAAGTTTATTCTCTCACAGTCCAGTAGGCTACAAGTCCAAATTCAGGGTGTCAGCTCCAGGAGAAGGCTTTTTCTCTCTCAGCTCTGGAGGAAGGTCCTTGTGATGCATCCGTCTTCTCTTGGTCTGGGAGTATCTCAGCATAGGAACCTCTGATCCAAAGGACACGCTGTGCTCCTGGCACTGCTTTCTTGGTGGTGTGAGATTCCCATGTGTCTCTGTTCGTTTCTCTCTTTTATATCTCAAAACAGATTGGATTAAGACACTATCCAATCTTGTATACATCGTCAGTATAACCTCATCATAGTGATAGAGTTTACAACACATAAGGAAATCACATCAGATTACACAATCATACAATACCGGGAATCATGACCCAGACAAGTTGACAGATATTTTGTGGGGACAAGATTCAATCCGTGACACTCCACCTTTTGACCCCCAAAAATTCATGTCTTTGCAACATGCGAAACATATTCATCTCATCATGTCACAGCAAAAGTCTTAACTCCAAGTCCAAAATCCAAAAATTCCTCTTCATCTGTGAAATCTAGAATACAAGTCATCTGCTTCCAAAGGTACAATGGCAGAACAAGCACAAGCTAGATATTTCCATTACAAATGGGAGAAACTGGAGGAGAAGAAGGGATAACAGGTACCAAGCAAGTCAGCAGAACACATTACATTAGCCGTCAAGGCTTTGAAAATAATCTTCTGTCGTCTGAGACCATTCACACAATAGTCTTGCCCTCTAGACTGTAGGTATTGACCACAGTCTCTGGATTCCAATTCTGCGTGGAGGCCCCTCAGCCCTGGGCTTCAGCTCTGCTTTCCAGGCCCACTGGGACAGCAACTCTGCACCCTTGGCTTTAGGCGCACCATTCTTCTGGTCCATCGGAGTGGCAACTCCACCTTTAGAAACACCAGAGGCCCTGGCTTCACCCTTTGAAATCCCAGAGGTCATGGCCATACCCTTTGAGACTGAGGCAGCTTGGCTTCTTTGTCTCTTCAGTTTCTGCTTCCTGTGGCCTCTTGGCCCTCGGGCCTCACGACCACATCTGCCCTGCTGGGGCAAGTGTTTCAAAGCTCAGTAGCTCCACTGATTAAGTGCCCTGAGGCACCTCAATCCACCAGGAGGCCTCCTGCGCACAGGCACTCAGCTTTCTCGCTCCATGGGTCGGCTCCAGCACTGTCTGGCACTCGTCTCCTGGTTCTGCTGTTGCTGCTGCTTCTCTGCCACTGGAGGTTCTCTGCTGCTGTTGCTCCTCTATCTATTCTCAGTTTCAGAGCCGCTTCCACATTTTAGGTATCTGTTAGAGCAGCACCTCACTCTTGGTACCAAATTCTGTCTTAGTCATCTAGTGCTGCTATAACAGAAATACCTTGAGTCGATGGCTTTAACAATGAGAAATTTATTCTCTTACAGTCCGGTAGGCTACAAGTCCAAATTCAGGGTGTCAGCTCCAGGAGAAAGCTTTCTCTCTCTCAGCTCTGGAGGAAGGTCCTTGTGATGCATCCATCTTCCCTTGGTCTGGGAGGATCTCAGCGCAGGAACCTCTGATCCAAAGGACATGCTTTGCTCCTGGCACTGCTTTGTTTCTTTCTTTTATATATCAAAAGAGATTGGATTAAGACACTATCCAATCTTGTAGACATCATCAGTATAACCTCATCATAGTGATAGAGTTTACTACACATGAGGAAATCACATATAACCTTATCATAGGGATAGAGTTTACAACACATAAGGAAATCACATCAGATTACACAATCATACAATAGGAATCATGATCCAGCCACGTTGACAGATATTTCTGAGAGATACAATTCAATCCATGACAGACCATGAGCCACAATTTCTCAGAGACATGTGGGATCACACCAACCACAATCTTCACATCAGCCAGTCTTGGGACACTCAGAATTCCAAGCTCGTCCATGAAGATGTTCCACTAGGATGGAAAAGCCAGGTTTACTTACCTTCCAGTCCAAAAACTCACTCATCTGACCCTTAACAGAAGAGCCAATCCCAACTACACCTGCAGTCTCTGAGGAGAAGAGCTTCGGAAGGCACAAACTAGTTTCTGCAGAAGGGGAAAATCTTCCTGAGGGCTGCTTTGACCTCCTTGTTTCTCAAAGTGTAGATGAGGGGGTTGAGGGTAGGGCTCAGCATAGTGTAGAGCACGCCAGCCAACTTACTCTTCTTTGCACTGTAGCTGGAGACTGGGCTTATGTAGGCATAGAAGACATCAGTGTAGTACATGCACACCACAATGAGATGGGAAGAGCAGGTGGAGAAAGCTTTTTTCTTCCCTTCCTTGCTCCTCATCTTTAGAATGCTGGAGATGATCAAGCCATATGACACAATGGTCATCAGGAAGTTCAAGATGCCATAAAAGGCATCAGCCAGGACAATCATGACACTATTTACATAGGTGGAGCTACAGGAGAGAAGTAGCAGAGGAGGAATCTCACAGAAGAAATGAGTAATCACATTGGGGCCACAGAAATTCAAGTGCAGCATCAGCGCAGTGTGGATGGCTGTGTTGAAGGCACAGAGACCCCACACACCCGCAGCCAGGATGCTGCAGAATGCCTTGCTCATCATGGTGCTGTAGTGCAAGGGGTGGCAGATGGCTGCATACCGGTCATAGGCCATGATCGTGAGGAGGAGGAGCTCAGAGGATGCAGACCATGTGAGGAAATAGAGCTGGGTCATGCAGCCTCCATAGGAGATTGAGCTCTCTTCAGACTCCAGACCCTCCAGTGCTTTGGGCATAATGGTGGAGGTGCAGATAATGTCCATAGTAGCCAAGTTTAACAGGAAAAAATACATGGGGGTGTGGAGCCCCAGGTTGAAGGTGATGGCCAAGATGATGAGGACATTACCTGTAAGGGCCACAGAGTAAAGGGAGAGGAAACAGCCAAATAAGAGCACCCGGTATTCTGGGTGCTCTGAGAAGCTCTGCAGAATAAACTCTGTTACCTGTGTCTGGTTACTCATGGTCCTCAAGCTGAGAGGTGTTTTGGGGACTATCTGGAGAATCTCTACCCACAGATTCATGTGATTTCAGGGCTTGGGAGAGAAATGAGAGCCGTCTTAGGAAAGCTGCTACCATGTTTCATTCATACCTGACATCATTGCATGAGCAATTTTATATGGACAGACTAGGACTTACTATTGAAGACAAGTATACCAATATAACAATAGACAAAGGGCATGAACGTGCAGTTCATAAAAAGCAAATGCAAATGGCCAATTAAACTCATGAAACATCAAAGAAATGTAAATTAAATCAATGATTCACTCTTTATCATCCATTATTTGGCAAAGTTAAATAGACGTGATAATGACCTCGGTAGCATGGGTGCTAAGATGCAGACCTTTTAAAATATGTATTCCATTTGTGTCAGAACTTTCACTTCTAGGAATTTACCCTAAAAAAATAATTATGAATATCTTCAACGTGTCATCTCAACACTATTTAAAACAGTGACAAATTTTAAAGTAGTCTGTATTCTGAAGGGTGAGTATATTATGATATATTGATATAATGGAATGCTGTGTAATTACCAAATTTATGCTTCAGGAATATTTTATTGATGCTTATAAAGTAGAATGGAAAAATATTATAAATAGTATGCACTATAGGATCCCATCTTAGGTTTTTAAAAAGATGTAGGAAAAACATCTGGTGAGTGATAGACTAAAGTTTGAATAGTGGGGATGGATTATGGTTGATTTGTATTTCCTTCTTTGTGTTGATCTGCATTTTCTGAATATTCTATTCTGTGACCTTTCTAAATGGCCAACCTATCATGTAACTCTCCTAAAAATTCTTCTGTGACTCCCCATTGCTGACAAAATACAGGCTCCCCAGCTGCTTCTTCTGGGTCTGCCTCCTCTCCAGCCTCTCTTCCAACTCATCCTATCCCTCCAAGCCAAAGCTCCAGACCCACCCAGCACTCAAGCTTGCCAATGCACCCACCCATGTCAAGGTTTTTTGGTTTTGTTCTTGTGGCTCCCTTAGCCAGGAATGTCCTCTTCTCAAGAACAAGGTCAATCAGCAGCTTTCTCCTTTCCTGGCACTCCTTCCCTAGAGAAAAAGGGCTGCTCCCTTTCTGTGTCCCTCCAGATTCTGCACTGACTTATATCCTACATAACCAGGTTATAGACGATCTTCCCTTAGGTTGCTGCATACACCTCATTCATCTCTGGCTATCCCTTCTTGGCACCTAGGACTATGACTGGCATGGAGTGGGTAGGCACTCAATTACGTCTGCTGAAAGAATGCTGAGGAACAATCAAGTACTAATAAAAGTAGAATGCTTTCTATTCTCAAGATAATACACATTCTGTATTGTTTAAGATGAAATCAGTAGAGTATCACACTCACTTTCTCCTTCCTTTCAACTAAAAGAGTTAAGATGTTCATTTTTAATAAAGAATTCTGCTTTTTGTTAAACTTCAAGAAATGCATTCACCACTGAAGCATTAAAAGGTTTATACAAGATGGTCAAATCTCGCCTACAATTCAGGTCATATCACCATTTTATAAGGTGAAGACAAAAGCTGTTCTTTGAAGAACATGAAATTTCCATGGTTCAGAGCAATATGGCTATATTCATGTGGATTCTGTTCAAAATGGATGAAAATGATAAAATTCTACCCGTGTACCTTCCCAGCAGCAAAGTATCAAATCAGGTCAGCTAAATCATGTTGGTGGGTATAATAAATAACATATTCTTTGCTTTATTTCATTTTTATTTGTGAAAGAGACAAAAGGATTGAATAATTACTTTTTTCAGTTTGAGTCTAGGATCTGTAGAAATAATTGTGTGACTTTATTTCCTCCTCACCACATTCAAGTAAGTGATTTCTGTTTAACTCCAGGGAGTCCTATGAGGATGAAAAGCTGAGGACGATTGTCTCAGTGTAAGGTTTCTGCTCTTCCCACTAATGTCTTCCCTAGGATTCTCACCACCTGAACCCCCCACCATCATCCACTCTCCACTCATATTACAGTACATATTACAAGCGATACCAGAGAGTCATAATACTAGAGACAAATATGTCTATCACCAAACACTACTAAGTGTGCCAGGTCTATCACACACCCTACTGGGGCACCAAGAGAACCTATTACAAAGTAAACCTTAAATTGATCTTTCTTTAAGTCAGCTCCAGAATAATAATAGAAAAAACCAACAACGTAAATGGTTTTGAACACGTGCTGAGCACAAGAAAGCTTTAACAAACTGATTCACATTCATGGAATAAATTACCTTTTCAGATAATTACCTATTCACTGTAATTTCCAGGACAGGTAGACAGTCTTCTCATACAAATTGGTCAACAGGGAGATCAAAGAATCAAGACACTAAGACTCTTTCGGTGAGAATGATCATGAAATTTCTGTTGGACCTCAGCCTGTCGTTTCCTCTTCCAAAAATAACAAAAAACTTTGTCCCCCGAGGTTCACCGAGCATTGGCTTTAATTCTCATCAAACATGATGAGATTTTTACTAAAGACATGAGGCGGGAAAGAAAGATCTCAAGAAACAACTCCCAAGTTTAAACAAACACTGTATTCAACAACACAGTGATTCCCCTTCAGCAACGGTTATTTTCCACAATTATCAAACCTAACAGCACCCAAATTTCAGAGAGAATGAAAATTCATCTTGCATGATTTTCATTATTTTAAGGAAACAGCAATAAGTGTCTTCCTCAAAACCTCTAAAATTAAAATGTTCATTGCATTTTTTCCCAGTTTTCTTGAATTTTATAGGAAGACAATTTACTTTTAGTAAAGTATTATCTTAGTTCCAATTTATTTCTCAGTTTCACAAATGGAAAATTATTATTTTTTTAAGGTATTATGATCAATAATAGATAACTTGATTACTTCTATTATTTTTATCTTTAAAGGGATTGGAGGATTTTCATAGATAACACATAATTAAGCTGATACTCTTATATTATGCTAATTATGTAAATGTACCTATTGAAAACTTATTTGAAGAATAGAAACCTAAAAATCAAAAAATGTCAAAATCTCACACTTCAAGATTTAAATATGAAACACAGTTTGGAGATCACCTAGTGCCATCTATTTATTTCAAAGTCCGATAGGAATCTAAGTGATTAACCCCTAGTCACACAAAATACTACTGGCAAAGCTAGTCCCAGAGATTTGAAATTCCAGTCCAGAATTTTCTTCTGTGTAAGTTGTTAATTGCTTCTCTAAATCCAACTCAGTCAAATGTCAAAGAAAAATCAAGAAAAATAAAAATCAACAAAGAATTTATATGATCATTTGTTATTGCTGAGGTGTGAAATGAGAACCCTAAACTCTCAACCACTTTTGGCACTCCATTTAGCTCTATTATTTCATTTACTGATCCAACAGTAACAATACAGTAATAGCAGTAAGAAATCCACAATGTTACTGATCCTAGGTCAGATGAACAAAAATATATCATCTTTTATGCAGTTAATGACCCAAAGTAAGCAGACTTAGAATTATGAACAGAACTTTGCTTGTCTTTTTTATATCATCCAATGGAACAAATTGTTCTAAGAATATTCATAGTTACCTTGGAAAAATTCTTTCGCCTTTCTGCAGCTAATAGATTTTATTTGTGGAAGTCCTTTCTCTGTCAACCACAGCTGAGGTTGTAAACATGAAGACACTGAGGTATTATGTAGTCTATGACAAGATCAGTCCAGACAGGATGAAGGCTTTCTTCCCCTATTTAAGATGATCCTGCCAAGAATTTGTGACTCACCTTCAGCAAAGTTTGTCACTGCCTGTGGGAGACACCTGGGAGAGATGTTCACAACTATTACTCTAAGTGGACCCTGAAGGAGCTATTAAATTAAGTGTCTCTTTGCTGGAGACTTGGCTATTATCAGTGTTCACAGAAAGGCCATTTCAGACTTTTATTCAAACCTGTATAAAAGGATCTGATCCAGAGTAGGGGGACTCTGGAGCAGGGCAGACCAGACTCTCAGACTCAGAATAATGTGCTCACACACATGGGCTGGAGAAAAGATGTCCACCAGGCAGCTAGCATTTCTAGAGTGCCTTGCATAGAAGACTAGAAGCATGGAGCAAATATTCCCTGTCCACAAATAAACCACCCCCTCTAACAGAGCTGGTCCCCTTACTCTCCCTCACTCACATCTTAGCTCCCCTATCTTCTACTACTTCCCTTCCCCACCTCATATTTTCCCTCGCTATCCAAATCTCGCCTTGATCTACCACCATCTCCTGGATCACGCTTTCCCTGACTCACTGGAGGGAAACAATCAATCCCTCTGCTGAACTTCTGTCACATCCAGGGGTTCTACATCATGCTTTCGTGGCAATAACATGGGATTTAGAGTCTTCACAGAGTCAAATCCCAACCCTGAAAGGTACTCATTGTGTGACCTTGGGCAGACTTGTTTACCTCTCCAGGACTCGATTATAATAATAATAAGGCCTACCTCATTATCACAGTACCTGATACATGAGAAGAGCTTGGCAATATTTTATTTACTCTTCCCCTAATTTGCCACCGTTTACATATATTAGTTAGCAAGCAGGGAACAGGTTAGAGATCTGTTTTCTACCATAGTAGGAAATTTCCCTGAACATAATTGATACTGAACAAGTAATTATTGATTAAGCAATTAATCAGTTTAGTTGGAGAGTTAAGTGTGTTTGTTATGAAAAGCCACTTCAAACAGTTTTAGTTTTACTAAGCAGCATGATATGCTTGAAACAAGCACTGAACTAAATAGTTGACAATTGATTTTGAGAGCTGACTCTCTTACTTAACTAGCTTTGTGAATTTATGCATGTCTTGTAACCTCTCTGAAACCCAATTTTTTCACCTACAGAATGGGAAAAAATAATACTTGTCTTTGGGATTGTTCTTTGGACTAAACAAGATGATGAATATGAATTCATTTTAGAAATCATGCTACTTGCTGTCATGGATTGGTCAAGAGAATTACACACAAAAAATTCTACCTTGGCAGCATTAAACCCAAGCAGGCTACCTTTTTTTCCT